GTTAAAGCTTTTTCAAAAGTCGATTTTGTTCTCTTACACAGCATGAAAGATGATCTACAGATGGGAACAGATAAGTTATTAGATACTACGCTTGCAATACTTATCCACAAAGGAACAAATGAACAAATACCTTCAATGATTTCCGACTATGTCCCCACGCCAGCATTGATTAGCCTTGTGATAAGAGTGAGTTGTCCATTTTCTTATGCGCTACCACAACTCAAGAACTGGGCTGATAAAAAACCTAATTACATGGAACGTCAGCCGACTGTTGCTCTTCCTAAACTAGCGCTCTAGTACTCCAAAGATAACTTCAAAAAAGATACTGATCGTAGGAAGGGTGATAAATATTAGGGACTGTTCTATGACGATATGCAGCAAGAATGAAATCATTTCATTTACGATGTACAAGCCGCTCAGCAACGGTCAAAGAAATCTCTCAAACTGTACAAAATCTTTTTTGCATATTCAATTGGTCTTGAGGAATTTTAAACCAAAAAAAATAGATTAGAAAACGGAGATGTCTGTAAATTTAAATCTAAAATAAAAATATTGATATCCAACTATTGGCAAATAGGTGTTATTCACTTGAGATAGCATGGGATGATGCTAAACATATGTACGCATAAGAACTGAGGAATGAGAATGTTCTCAGAAGTTCTTAGAACCCTACCAGTTTCTGCTGTGCAGATTCTAAATGGATTTTGTCAAGGTGTCGCCTATCATCCAGCCAACACTGTTGGGCTGGATGATTCCCGATAAAGGACAGTTTCGAAATTTTGAGGACAACATCCCCAATGAGTGGATTTAGATAGTAGATGATAATATGAAAATTTAAAAGGTCTTAAAAGGTACGGTGCTGTTAATTAGTTTACCAACCAATGTTAATAACACGGTAACTCTTCGCTACACATGTGCGATAATGATCATTTTTAAAGCGAAATATCAGAAAAGTTAAAGTTTCACTCAATTCCTTTACGAGGAAGGCGAATAAAGCGCTACTATTGCAATCAGCATGTCAAATAAGCCCAAAAATACTTTCAGATGTGGAATTAACTCTCTTCCGCAACCTCACGGAACCTTTATCGTGCGTGATATGTGATTTTCTTATCGTCATGTCAAATGTTACCCAAAAAACACAAGTAAGATCCAAGGACTCCAGGTCTTGGAACGGGAAAGTAGAATAGTTGCTATCGCATAAAAAGAAATCTGTACAATTGCGAACGCCCAAACATGAGGTAGACATTGTGTCCCAGAACAAATTCTAGGTGCACCTTCCTAAGCAACATATATCGAATATTAACGAA